TCTTCCCTTTCTTTTTTTCCGACCCACTGTCTCCTATTCCTCATTTCTTTTCTTCCTGTCTTCTTCTTTTTTTTTATCCTTCTGGCACTCTTTTCTCCCCTCTTCATTCCCTATCACTTTCTACTTCCCTTCCTCCTTCCTCCTCCTCATCTTCCCCCATCTCCTATACCCAGCACTCTTTGCTCCTTTTCCTCCTCTTTTCTCTTCCCTTCTTTCCCCTTTCCTTTTCTTTCTCTTTTCTCTCCCCTCCCTTCTCCTTCCCTTCCTCTCCCCCCTCGCCCCCCTTCCTCTCCTCCTCCTCCTCCTCTCAACCCTTTCCCAACAGTCAAAGAGTAGAACGAGTTTCGTCGGCTTAGCACGAGGGTTCACGTCGTATTTGATATAGTTCGACGTCCTATTATAAAGTGAAAAGGCCTGTTTCTTTTTTTTTTCTTTTCGGTTGTTTCAGATGTCCTTGTTTGTCTTGGTATTCGGTTCTTATTATTCACTTCTTTATTTTTTTTTTTTTGGTCTTGTTTTCCTCCCCACTCCCACTCCCTCCAAAAAGTAATGATAATGATAAATGAATGATTAAAGGATTAAAAATAAGAATATGAATTGATTAGGAACGACTTTGTTCAGGGGGTTTTAGAACTGATTTGGTTGTGGCACGAGTAAACTGCAGCTGGATTTATTGCTGAGTCGTAGTAGCCCTACTATTCATAGTCGTTGCAGCGGTGTAGGATTACGAGGCTATAGGATTACATTCATCGCATTAACATAGAGGAGGAGGGAGTCCTGGAGTGGTTAAGGATTAGATAAATTCAGAGAATTCTGCCAGCAGCCGGTAGTTTCTGGTTAAGTGCCTCGTCCTGTGAAATTGCTTGCGAAGAGTGGCTCTCGTTATTGCCCTTCTCCGTGCGTTGTGTGTGTGTGCATGTTAGGTGTCCCTCCTGCGAGACTGCATGGGCCGTTCTCTTGTTTTTAAGCGGTTTTATTTACTACGGCCGCCGCTGCGTGACGGGTAACATGTGTCACTGGCGTGTGCATGACATTGGCCGTCAAATGTTTTGATCGTGTCACATGCTTCCCGGGAAAGGGCGGAGGACGTGGGCCGAGAAATGGACACTTGGCACCCCCGCCGCCAGCTGCAGATAAGCTATGAGGCGGGGGATATAAAGCGGGCTGGAGACGAGCCGAGGCATCACACCTAGCCTGCTCTGCCACCTGTGCATACATAGGACTTACCTCCACGCCCCGCAACGCCCTCTGCCTACTTTCCAGAGTTGTCAGAGTTCAAGAGACCAAATTTCGCACAAAGAGAAGTTCGTGTTCGGCTGACAGAAAGGCCCAGTCGCCATCGGGACGACCCACTCCTCGCGCCAGACACGTGTTGCTGTGATGGAATCTGCAAAGGTGATTGACAGCCGCTTCCTCCTCGCACCCATCGCCGTGGCCGTGTACCTGCTCGTTGCCCTGGAGTCTTACCTGGTCGAGGCTACGGCGTTCAAGTACATCTTCCAGCAGTAAGTAGGTGCTCTCCGCCCCGTCGACGGTGTCCTCTCTTCAGCCGTGGAGTTCGCTTGCTGAACATCGCGACGTCGGTGCTCACAAGAACACTGGAAGATTTTGCGAAAGTTTTTGAAAGTTTAGGAAGAGTAATCCCGGCTAAGTTTTTTTAGACTGAAAAAAGAAAATTTAAGCCGAAGAAGCGTTGGCAGCTTTAGGACGAACGCTGCGATCAGAGCGAGTTTTCCCGAGCCAGAGGACCGTCCGAAGGTGCAAAAAAGAAGACCCGCGAGGCCCTTCCATCCCAGCGACGATGGACTCCTTCATGGCCTTCGACTCCAGCAGCGGGGTGTCCTGCTACTCCAACCATGGCGCGCCCGCCCTCGCGCACGCCGAGAGGGTGCCGCCCGCTTCTCCCTACGAGTCCTACGAGTCCCCGCGCCCTTCGAGATGCACGCGGGGCACGAGGGAGACGAGGAGGAAGAGCGCCCGCGTCATGAACGTGGTGGACCTGCCGTGGCTGCGGCGTGACCTGTCCAGCGACGAGTTCAGCAAAGGCCTCCTGTCGCTGGCGGTGCTGGCCACGGTCTCGCTCTCCTTCGAGGGATACATCACTGAATCCGTCGCCTTCAACTACATTTTCCAGATGTGAGGAAGTACTTGATGCTAGTCTTAAGCCGCCGCCAACTCATTAGTCGTGTAAGATTATATATTATATGATGTATGTTTGTGTTGTAAGTAACGTGTATAAATTATTTTTTTATATATTGATACTATTTATGAATAAAACAAATATGTGATGTGATCATTTTCTTTCTCCACCTCGCATCTCAAACATGATACGTCTAGATCAACGCGATAAAGGAGTCATACAGATAATGTTTCTTGTGGCGAGACAGTGAAAATCCGATGAGGACTGATTACTAGATTGATTTTTTTTTCTTTATTGGATATTGAGTTTTATATTTATACATATACATATATATTTTATGGAGATACACAAAAATGTCTAAGAATTTCGGATATTGAGTTTTATGTTTATACATATTC